AAGTAATAAGCTAGAATTTGAGCTCTATTTAGCACTATGTTTTAATTGACTTTTGTCTCTGGGTTCCTGGATTCTAAAACAGGAAAAAGATTTTAAAAAGTTAGCCTTATTGCTGACTTTACAAAAAAGATTTATCCAGTCTTATCCCGGAATCCCCAAAATCCACATTTTGACCTCGTAGTGAATACGCAGATTCATACATCTTTTTTAAAATAAATGATTTGGAACCTAGAATTTGAAAAAAAAATAAGCAGAAACCAAAATTGCTTAAAAAATGGAAAATAACATATAAGATATAAGAAGGTATCTCGTCCATTTTTTGCTACTCTTTGAATCTGGGCAGGCCTGTTTTTCTTGATAAAAATTGAAATTTTTCAATGTTTGTTAGAAAAAATATCCAAGAATGACTCAAAATAATCCTTACGCTCTTAATAACCCTTAAATATTCATTGAGGACCCAAATCGGGCTTAAAAATTGTGTGTCATTTTTTGTGAAGGAAAAAATTTGTTCAATCAAAAAATCTAAGGAGATCAAATGATTTAATCAAACCTGCTGCGAGGGTCTTGTCTCGAACTTGTGAATGCCAACCATGTTTTTGCACTTTTGTCTTCTTGTGCTGGTGACGTAAGAGTTGAAAAACGGTGACCAACTTGTAACAGATGTTTCAATGCAAAAAAGAGAAGAAAGTGGACAAAATTGGAAAATTTAAAACGAGGTTGAAATAAAATATCAGTAAAAAGTCATTCAAAACTTTAACAGTAAGTAATTTAAAACTTGTGAATTGGCCTTTCTGAAAATTTGTTCGCCTTGTAATTCTTTTTCCCACAAGTTGGTATCGGCAATCGTAACAATTATATTTCACATTTTCAATTTGTTTCTCTTTTGAGGAAATCCAATTAAGTGAAACAATTTTAACATAATGAAAAGAAAACTTTATTTTCTAACGCGGTATGGATTTAGCTTATTTTTGACTAAGGAAATTGAATTAAGAATATGACAAAGGCTTTTCATCTTTTTCGCGAAGTTCCAATGAAAACAATTTGTGTCACCTAGGTGACTTTTGTTCTTGCTTGAGCTGAAATGTCAGCCCATAATTGTTATATTTCAAAAGTAAATCTCAGTCCATTTAAATGGTTTGAAACTCAATTACCAACGTGCCAAAATCGGTCAAACATGGTCCAGTGTATTTTCTGAAATCATCAACTGAATTAAGGTAAATTTCTGATTGCGGCCATTAAAACAAATTACCCTTAACTTCGGTCGAGGATGGAAATTTAATTTTATAGTTCATTTTTTATTTCGGGATGACCCAATTTAAAACCTACTGAATGTTTTTATTTTGTATAAAATCTCATTTCCATGATGATTTTTAAGAGTTTTTAATTCGGTTTTAAATGTGTTTGCTGAAGTGTAAATATCCCAGGAGTTGCAGAAGTTATCCCAGAGAAAAACTTATCCCAGTATTTTTGCGGGCTAAAATTATTCCAGTTAATCTCAAAGCAATGTAATTAATACCAACAAACCTGTTCAAGAGATCGCTCCGATTTCTTAAAGCTAGTTCCAACCATATCGTAGTGTCACAGCTTCTCCTTTTTGGGTTTGCAAAAGAAAAATTTATGGAAATGCCAACATGAATCAGACAAACCTTTCAAGCCAAATAAATGTCAAATTTAGGTTCAAAAAAGATAATTTTTTCTTACTTTGCGTAAGGGCTGAAAATTAAGCAAATTGAAATTTGATCTTTTTGTTTCCTTTTAGGGGGTGATTTTTAGCGACGATATTTTTGATCAATTCCTCAAGTTTGATCTCCGTCAATCAAAAAATGAATTTCATTGTTTAGAAAAAAAATAGTGCGATATTTGCCAAAATTAGTTAAATTAATCAAATGAGTTTAGCAATAACCAAGATAAAATAAAAAGTTGGTGATAGGCCAACAAGCCGAAGGGCCAACAAATCGAAAAAAAAGATTAACATTCCAACAAAACGGAAATAAATATTGTTATGCAACATAACAACAGATTGTCATTGTTGTTATGCAATTGTTACGTAATTCTGATGTAACTTGCGTAATTCTAATGTAATTTCAGCTTCAAGTTATTTTAATTTCGGTGGTATTTAGATATGGCGGTTTGTTGAACAACAGTCAAAAACTGAAGATCGCGTAAATTCAAAAAGTTTCTGACGATTAGAATGAGCTGACACATTTTGTTACTAAAAACTCATCAAATCTTCTGCAGTTTGACCTTGTGACCCGCCAATGTTTACCCTCTTTGATTTCAGTTTATGTTCTTTTGTTGTTTTTGTTTGTTCCAATCAATATCAAAAAACTACAAAAGCCAATTATAAAAAAAAAAATTGGACAGCGCCTGTCAAAAATGCGTAATTTTAAATATAAGTTCTTTAGAATGCCCTGAAATGTTGTTTTCTGCAGCTTTTCTCAAAAGACTTGAGAAATTGACTTGTTTGACCTTTGAAAACCCCAAATCTTTGCCTGCTTCCCCTGGTAGTTTATCAAATCAATTTTCCCAATTTTTATGTTTTAGGTTAATTTAGCAATTATTCACATACGTTTTAACTTTTTACTGAAGGTAATTGCTCTTTCATAAAAGAAGAAGAATGAGGAAGAACATTTTTGAAAATTAAAATTAACTTTGAAATAAAACAACACTTTTTGAATGAATAAACGTTTAAGCATTTTGAATTCTTTGATTGATTTTTTATCTTGAAAAGATTCTATGGATGGAATTTTTTGTGATATTTGCACAGTCACCTGTCTTTGTTTTAATTAAAATTCATTTCGGCTTGACTTGAAAAAAAAATTCCGTTGAATGATAGAGATGGAATAAGTGTTGTTGTATTCTAACTAAATGTAGGTTGCAATAGAACAGTTTTTTGCAAATCAAAATGTGTAACAAAAAATTGCAGAAAAACTCAAGATGTGGAGCTTGATTTGAAGCAAAAAAAATCAAAGCTGACGATTTTTTAGCTTTTTGTCTTCAATAATTTTAGCAAAAATTTCAGAATACTAGAAATGAATTATAAAACTTTAGGAATATTTTTTTGATTTTTTTAATGTGCAAAATAAACAGAAGATTGTTGAACATACGACTCAGTAAGCCTACTTACGAAACACACATCGAAGTTTTAAATTAGTACATTTCCAGTTAGTTTTTTCACGAATGATGAACAGGAATTTTATTTTGTTATACGTATCTCATTGTGATTAGTTGAAGTATAGTTAGGGATGTACATTTTGAAAATATTCTTGTTTGTTAATATTTTTAAAAGAAGTCATAACCCAATCTTGAAACGGTGAATAAATCAAGTATTGTGAGTTTTTTGTTTTCAAAATTAATATAGTCAAATCATTCAGTTAGGTGTATTGTAACCTATTTTCTAAAAAAATGATAAACATGATTTAAGTTACTGGTTTTTGCTATGGCATGGGAGGCAACAGTTTTTGTTCTGCCTTTCTAGTGATAGCCCGCCATAGTTACAGTTTTTTAACAGGTTTCAAACTGAATTTTTTAAATTGTTGTAGCTGAAATCCATTTTGTGAACCTAGAAGTTTCACGTGGCACCCCTTTTGCAGACGAATTTGGTCAGTCTGTTTTAGATCTGAAGCTAGAGGTAAAGTGAGATCTCATTTTCAAACACTATCATTGTTATGACAAGGCATCAAGTGCACAATCTGGCTCTCAAGATAAACGTGCTTTCACCTCCGTGCTACGTTTATCTTATGAAAGCTTCTGACTTACTCAATATTTGCATTAGTGTTAACCAAGAGAATTAAAAATGTGGCCTATCAACAGGGGCGGATTTGAGGGGGGGGGGGGGGGGGGAGGTCGAATTTTCCCTCAGGGATTCGACCCCCTAACGACCCAAAGGATCCCATCTTTGAACTATTTTGAACTTGGGCGCCAATAGATACTTATTTTAACGCGGGAGCGCGCGCCAAAAAACGCGATTTTTTTGCTTAAATTTTTCCAAAAAGTGCCCAAAAAAGCCTTTTTGGCCTGTTTTTCTGTTTCTTCTAAAGTTTTGCCTGCGGCGCAGAATTTTTGGCCAAAACAGTTTGTCGACTTTAAAAAAAGTAGACAAAAATTCGAAAGTTTTTGAAAATCCCCCCCCCCCTCGTCGAGAAAAGCCTAGATCCGCCCCTGCCTATCGTCAAATCTGAAATTTATTATATTAACCGACAAATTGAAGTATGTTTACTGACTATTCCATAATGTCATGATAAATTAGTTTTCAAGAAAAACCATTTCCAATCAAATTTAATCAAAAATTATCTTAACTGTTTCTTTGGATTTGAGTTTGCGATTTTCGCGAACATCACAGATATTTGGCTGCTATCGACGTTAAAGTCTAGCGACACTAATTCGTTGCATGGCTTCTTATCACAGATATGTGTGATCACGTCGTCCTTTTCAAATAAGTTTAAAATATGTTCACATAATTAGAGCAAATAGTATCAAAACTATAGGTAGTTTCAAATGCTCCTATGGCTTAATATAAAATACCACTTACTTTTTATCTAACGCATTGCAGCAATCAAACTATCAAATTGAGCAGCTGGCTCTTTATTTTCAGCGAAGAAAAATGATACAAGGAAAAAACTAAAACCTTTGGATTTTTTTCGCAAGTTTTTTTTTCAACGTTTTTGAGAAAAGATGGCAAAAACTAGAATTCCAATTTAGAAAATTTTACTTAAAAAACGTGTTTCCATCTACTTAATTGCCAAAATCGAACTAAAAATAACAGCTATGCACCATTATAGACTGATGTCATTGTATGTCAAACCTGCCTTTTCTAAGCAAGACAGAGAGAGCTTTAATAGGAAAACTGATCACACTAGTTCAAACGACGAGTCTTTGTGAGCGCTGTTTTTGTGATAGAAAAAGCTGAATCCAAAATTTTCCCTATCTTCCTCAATTTAACAGTAAAAATAAATTAACCGAGTCCCCTAAAATTTATCTCTGTTAGTATAACATCTAACCTGTTCTGTAGCATTCGAAATCGTTCTTTCAATCTGATTTCGATGTCTTAAACTTTCTCCTCTACTCAGATTTCCCAGTGAATTTTGAGAAGAACCCACCGCACTTTGAAGCGGGTTAGCTCCGTGGAAAACTCCCGCGCCCTCCAGGATTTTTCCAGAGTTTTGGTGTCTCGAGCTTGGTCCAAACTGTTTATTCAAATCATTGATTAATTCACGCCGAAATGAATTTTGTGGTGATCTTTTTAGACTGATTGAGTCGCGAATTAAAAGCTGACCGCTGCCAGAAAAATAGTTCCTTTGTTCCAAATTCTTGTAAGAAGCTGAGACAATCCTATTATTTAATTTTCCCCCTGTCAATATTGGACTTTTAAGAAAGATTTGGGGATCAAAATCTGCTAATTTAACTCCGACACCTGCGAGAAATCGTCAAAATCACAACCGGCTGATGAATCAATTTTTCTTCTGACATTCTTTCCTGATTTTAAGCAGAGGTTGTTCATCTTTTTGTCGTTTTGTTTTTTGTTAAATAAATTTTTTGGTCATTTCAGTAATTTTTACCATAAACGAAGGACTTAACGATCAATTTTTGTTCTGACTTAGTAATTTTGGATCTCTTTAACTATAAACCCTATCTAACAACGATTTGCCGTGCCTATAAAAAAACTAATGCAATGGTTAAGCATGAATGAATTTGGTACATAACAACGAACCTTTACCCTCACCCTTCGCAAAGGGGCCGGGGAATTGTCAATGGATCAGCATTTTTTTTTGAAAAAAAAATTTAAAGCCGTCTCGTCTGTCTATCCTTTTTTTTATACCCTTTAATTTTTGAAACAACTTTGAAAATTTAGCATCCCTTTATCACTTTTTCAAAGAAATTGTTGTAAAAGTGAAATATCAGCAACATTTTGTGCACGCTATTTTGACGATCTCTATGACGTGCAAACCTGTATTCGGAGAATAATAGGATGAATAGTGATTAATTCCAGCTTGTCGATAACCAAAATAACCAGACTTTCTAGGCTGGCGAACAGACCTTGACCTTGTTTTCCAGCCTATATTCGGACTGTGTTCCCGGAATAAGGCGCGGTTATTATGTTTCCCAGTAAAAGGCGAAGCAGACCCAATGTTATAACTAGTAATAATATTACTTCTATCTCGGTCGCATAAACTTGAGTTTGACGGTTGTAAATTTGGGTTTGTATTTGAGACTGTGTAGCTTCGGTTTAAAGGGCGTTTACAGCTAACTTCTGATTTCAAATTAACCGGTTTACTTGAATTCCCAGAATTATCCGAATTGTTTAAATCTCGTTTGATGTCAGAAGCTTTCAGTTTGGATTTAGTTGAGCCGGATTTTTCAATTTGAGAGAGGCTTTCGGGAGAATCTGTTATCCGCTTCTGTTCCGAAGAATTTGTCGTAAATACGCTGTTTCCAAAAGGCTTCCGGCTTTTGTTAGCTGAAACTTTGACGGAAGAACTTGGTTTGTTCTTATTGTATTGAGAAAAAGCCCGCTCTAGGGTAACTGGAGCGTCCAATCTACTGGGTACGATTTCGGGATCAACTGAAATTATAACTGACAATGGCCGGTTGGGCTTGATAATTTCACTGTTAGTTTCATTTTTGAAACTGCTGCAAGGTTTTGAAAGTTTCCCAGCATTTGAACTGGCTGGTAATAAAATATAACTTTTACCAGGGGACTTATAACTTTTACTTAGGCTTTGAGATTCATTTTCTTCGGGGTTTGCAAACAAATCTAAATCTTCGCTCAATTTTTCTTGTATTATATGAGCTGAAACTGTTTCTTTAGGCAAAGAATTTCTAGGAAATTGATCTGATTCTGTAAATAAAACGTCTAAGTTTTCGCTGTCATTTTCTCTGATTTTATCTGGACTATTCTGTGAAACCCAATTTTCACCTTCGAAGGTTAAAGATTCACTATCTTTTGAAAGACTTTCACTATCCTGCTTAAGTGATTCTTGGTGAATTAGCTTAACAAGTTTTCTTCGTGGCGTTCTAGGTTTTTCCGGAGTTTCGGACTTGTTTTTGAAGTCGTAATATTCTTCTTCTGAGTTAGACTGATCCACTGAAAAACTCGATTTTGACAGCGGCTTCTCAGAAATTTCACAATCTTCCCGATTCGGTTCACGTGTATTTTGGTTGTTCAAAATAAGCGTTTTTGAGGTCGTGTTAGGAGTTTCAATAAACGTTCGCAGATTTTGGTTTGAACTATTAATGGCTCGAGGATTTTCATTTTTGCTAGCTAATTCTCCCTGCTCTGTAGCATCTGTACTTTGAGAGGTCAGAATTAAACTTGTATTTTCATAATTTGGCTTGCAATCACTTGTTCTGAACTCTTTGCTACTTTTATCCGCAAATTTGTCTGAATTATACTCCATTTTTCTGTCCATTTTTCTATTTATCCGACCGAAATTGTTTCACGACTTCAGAACTTCAAAATTAAATCCACAGAATTCTATCAGAATGTTTTCATGCCAAATTTGAGGATTTCATGCCGACAGTTTCTGTAAACAAAAACATAATTTGAAAGGCTGACTGTCCGAGCTAATTAGCGTCGCAGGTGATTTTGATAAGAATATTTGGGTTTTAAAAACAGTAATAATCGAAAGGTTTGTTGTTAGCACACCAAAGTCAGACCAATTGATTAAAATAACATAAAAGAACCGGTAAATTTTTATTTAACTTTAACTACACTTGCTAAAAAAATTCAATGCACAAAAGAGAATCCTGTTTTTGCAATAATTTCTATTTTGATTAAAATCTCAGCATAAATTTTCTTACGAATTGCTCGACAGTAGCTCGTAAAAAAAAATAATGAAATCAAAATCCGCCATTGCAGTTAAAAGACAAAGATTACTTTTGAAATTATTTATAAAAGGCGCATTATAAAATGCAAATTTACTGAAGCAGAAACTGCAGGTTAGCTGATTTAAGAACCCTGACACTAATGACCGGCTAAGCTATATCACTCGCTTGTTTGTTTTTTTTTTCCTTTTTGGTTATTTTTGGGTAACAAAGGATAATTGGGAGAACCTGCTGTTCAAAAGACACCAAAAAAGATCAAAATCTAATTTTAAAACACCGGGGAGGATTTGAGACACCAGGCCACGACATGTTGGGATGCTTCATTAAATTTAATGTCCTCTTTTTGCAACCAAACAAAAATCGCTTCTATCTAGTGTGTTTTTATGACAGGCGGTAGCATTTGGCCAAGATTTCTGTATCTTAATTTTTATGATTCAAGTTTAACCAAAGCAAGTGGATCAAAACAGAGGAAATTATCTACGGTCCGTTATATGACTTCATCAGTCTGGAGAAACAAATAATAGAAGGGGGAGTGTGGATAGACAAAGAAAAAATATATGCTCATCCAAAGACATTGATCATTAAAACTTGGAAATCAATAGTATAAAATTGCTAAATCAGCCTTTTGAAACAATAGTTGGGTTTGTTGTAATTTTGAGACACAGAACAGAGAAAAATTCTTTCTTAAAAATAAATTTTTTTCACAGTGCGTCAGTCGATGCATAACTAATTTTGAGGTTTTTGAGGAAAGAAATTTGGTTTTGATTTATTTAACGAGTTATATTTCAAAGTAGTTGATGAATGGCGTGCGTTTCCACAAAATGCAGAGGGAGTGAGTTATTTCAAAGAAGTTTTTGTCAAATTTCATTTCAAAGTGGCCAGCAAGGATGTCACGCTGATTGAGTGCCGCCGCCAAAATTTATTTTCCCTGTCGCGCCAGGAAACCACTGACTGTGATCCCATCAGGGAAAACAAGGAGACCAACTGGGTCTTATTGCAGGAATAGGAAGACAGGTTGTGATGTGGCAAATAGGAAGTGGGAGGGGTTGATGGTTGATGGTAGTGACGGAGGATGGTAGGGGAACTAGGTTTGGCGTCCTAGGTATTGTGAGCCCTGATTCAGAACTATATCATGAATGACGGTTGCAAATGTACTGATCATGCATAATCATGGATAACTGATCATAGTGCCTGAAAGCGCCTTAATTATCTCTGCGACTTTAAACTGGAAGGGGGATGGGGAGGGGGGGGGGTGTGCTTGTTTGGTGCTCAGTTATGTATTACTGACTTATTTCTCTAGGATTTTCAATTTGAGCCTCAACTTTTCTTATCAACGAGCACGGATGATTGCGATGATTTAACTGAAAAGTGAAAACCGAAAATCCAATCACAACTTCTTTTTTAGAATCCTCTTGCTTTATAATATGGATGAACTTCTGCATGGTTAATCATGTTGCCAGGTAACCGAAAAATTACTAAGTCACGTCCGAGATGTGACTGTGCAAAAATACTTCTGCTAAAAAGTTGCCAAAATAGAGACACCCATTTATAAAGCACTCAATCTACCAAATGTAAGAACGAATTGGAAAATAATTTTCTAAAAATGTATATTGATCTTTTTAACGCTTCTTAGATACGCGGCGGGTTAAATACCTTAGATCCAAATCCGAAAAACGATTCACTTACCAGGCTAACCACTGCCAAAATCATCAACAGTATAAGTTTTTTAAAGCAAAAACTGACTTTCGAAGGTATGTCGTGGTTTCCTTTAGAGTTGCTTATTGCACAGCAGCCGGCTAATCTTATTTATTTATAAGATCCCTTCGCAAAATTTAAAGAACTAAAACAACGAGCAAAATATGAAATACGTGGGATCGCAACCTTATTTGCTAATTGCACAGCAACCGGCTATTCTTATTTATTTATAAGCTATGCCTACAAAAAAGTCCCCACAAAAAATGATTATCCCAAGAAATTTAATAAATTGAGTGCAATAGAAACGCTCATCATACATAATTCATAAAGAATCAAAATTGTATGACAAGCATTTTCATGAAAAATATCTGAGATTTAGGTGAACTTTTGTTCTTTTTTGATCGCAAACTCACTTTCGTGATTAAAATATAACATTTTACGTTTTTTTGTGTTTTTTAAATATTTATTATCGAAAATTTTCATTGAAAAAAATTCAGATATTAGGTGACACCAATGTCACTAGACATTTTGGTGATTTACAATGTAATTTAAATTTTTGAAATTTGGCCAATTTAAATAACGATAAGCTATTATTCAAAGAAACTAAAGTTTTTCACGCTTTTGTGCTCACAGCTTGTTTTTGCAATTCAGCAAACCTTTTACGGGGAGTTTTTTGTTGATAACTTTTTTCAGAGTTTTTTGTTATGAATTAACAATATAATTCAAATATGTGAAAAAAAACTAGTGCAACTTTTGAAGACTACTGAATTTCTCAAAAGACAAGCTTTCTAGCCTGAACAAATTGTTGCTTTTTGCACTTAATTGTGCGTTCAGCGATAGCAAATATTTATTTGGCTAGTCACCAAATGCAATATTTAGGTGAAACTTAATCTCTGATTTTTCTTCATCGGAAAATGTCTTATTGAAGTGTTAAAAATGCTAGAAACAAAATTAGGCACAAAACATTTCCTGCTGTGCAGTTTTTAATTGTGAACAAAATAGCCGGTTACTGTGCAAGTAGCACAGAATGTTCCGACCATAGATTTCATGAAAACAGCAAAAAAAATACTTCAAATTAGTGTCGTTTTTTTTCTGCGTGAAATCAAAACCTGAGCAAAAAAATCTAACTGAAACATATGCAGCATTCATAGTAAAATAGGCCAAATGCAAACAGTTTCGTAGAAAAATAACTAGAAAAACGAAAAAAATCATTAAAAAATTCATTTTTTTTGGCAGAAAATTTTGGTATTTGAAGCTTTTAATTCCCAAATTGGCGCTAAAAACTCGAAAAACTAAATTTGTTTGAGTAAAACTGAAACTTTGAGGCTTTAATTAAGCATAAATAAGCTAATGAAAGTCTGCTTACTCGATCAACGTAAGGAAAGAAGAAAAATTAAAAATTTCGAACCGGTTTTTCACGACACTGGGGAAATTTTTTGAAAATAACATATGTGCCTTCAATCAAGACGTAAGGGAGTTTAATATGATATGTCACTCGACCCAGTCTGATGATTATTTCTGGTACCTGGTTTGGCGTAGTTAAAATTAAAACTGGTCAAAAACCATGTTGTTTTGATCAATTCAAACATTCTGCAGTGTGAGCGACTCTATCTGTCTTAGATATTTGTGAAGAGATCTTTTTTGAGAGTATATCTTCCAGCGTCGGCCGGTTTGACCAAAAAAATTTTAATATGATTTTTCCTGGAATTAAGGTTACCTTGTTTTTTATTTCGGCTCTAGATGATTACGATAAAAAGCCTTATTCTTAGAATATTGTTGTAAGATAAAAACAATTAATAAAAAACAAGGAAATCTACGAAAAATTCTTCTAAGAACGTCGTAAGATAACTTACATTTTTTTTCAATATGCATAAGTTTTAATTTCTTATAACCAGAAAAAAAATTCTCTGCGCAAGTAACGAAAGTTTCATGGGCGAAAATGAAATATTTGCTATATTAAATAGTTGATAGAGCGATGTTCCGTGGATAATTTTATGCCACCCGTATCAAGGTTCCATGCAACTCTTTCTAACACGGTCAAGCGAGTTGCTGATTTCAAGAGTTTTTCGTTAAAATAACAATTAACACTTATATGCAATACGTCTAAATCTATCTGACTTGATTCCTTATAAGTGACATTCAATTGTCTGCAAAAAACCGCTGAATATGTATAGTCATTAAAACAAATCAAAATTTGTTTCAAGAATTTTTTTTCGAATTGCATTTATCAAAACAACAAAATAGAATGAAAAAAAAAATGATGAACATTGACAGAACTTTCAGGAACCAATTTTTATTTGTAAGTGCAGTATAAAAACACATTCATAAAAATTTTGGCGTTTGTTGAAGAAGATTGTAAAAAAAGGAAAGTTTTTGCAAGCTTTATAAGATTTTCTGAAAATCTTTGGTCAAAACTTGAAAATTGTTAAATGTATTGTATTCAAGTCGAACGACAAATAAATGGAATGCCAGCAAAATCTGAATTGCACAGAAGTTTTATGAAAAATAATCGACTACAATGGAAATTTATTTTCAGTTTCAGTAAGTTTCAACAATAATTGATCATATCAATTACAGTTTTGTGAACCTGTTACTATTTTCAGAAGAAGAAAGTCGATTGTAACCGATGATTTTGAAGTAAATTTTATTCGAATTTATCAAAAAATGAAAGATATTCAGTTATTTAATCGAGACTGTTTTTTCGCGCACTTTTCTGCATATATTCAAAACACGAACGCTGAATGCGTTAAAGTGAGAGTCATATTTGGCTTGTATTGAAACAACTATCGTTTTTTTAGTCTCCTCACAGTGTTTGCTTTGTTCATTTTTTAAAAATTTATTTCGATAATCAAACATTTTATGCGACTGATTTTTTTACAGATCAGCCACATGATGTTTTTGTGTGTAGGAATGGAGGGCATATAAGTGCGTGTGTGGCAGAACAGACAGGAAATTATACCCTCTCTTATACCCATTTACGCTCCCACTCAAGGAACGGGGTGCCATTTTGGGTAGGGAGCGCAATATAGTTTGTATAGGGGGATAGGTGTTAGGGGAGTAAGTGTTGGGGGTTTTAATGTAGATAGAGTTAGAGGTGTAAATGTGAGGCGAGCTGGGTGAGGTGAAGGATGGTGGGTACATATGTTTTACATATGACGAGGGGTTATAAAAACAAGAGATTTTCTTCGGGTCACAAAAACGAACAAAAACTCGCTGTAAGCTGGACTTAAGTCCAAAACTTTACGATCGGTTTTTCTCAAACAGTTCTAAGACCGGTTTTTACAACCGGTTTTAAGAAACATTTCGAAAGTGTTTTTAAAAATTGGCCAACGACGGTTGAAAGTGTTTCATCATATCAAAGTGCATCACAAATAAAACATCAAAAAAATTGCTCCAACCTGTTTGAAACTTGAATGTTGTACCCGACTCCGCGCACAAAAGAAAAACTTTAAAAAAATTTAGAATACGACTGTTAATTAAAATCAGATTATAAAAATAAGTTGGTCTAATTGATCAAAAAAGGTAATCGATACAAAATTGTGATTAGTATTTCAGCTTATTAACAGTATAACATAGCTAATCCGTTTAAAAAATTTTCTCGAGTCGCATATTCTGCTGTCTTATTTGAATTGA